CCCTGATGCAGCACCCCACCCCCTAAGAGCTGTGCAACACCCCTGGGCCCGTGGTGTGGGCCATGCCGAAGGCTAGCCTGAGGTGGTGCCGCGACCACCATTTCTGAGCTGAGATGAGCTTATCCAGTGTCTTGATACGTGTCTCCTGCGCGCAAATTACATGTTGATGCTTATCGCCAATCATCCTGCCATCCATCATCCACTCGATCACAGGATGCCCTGAACTCCACGTGTCTGCGTTCAGACGAGCAGAGGGAGGGGAAAGTGGACAAGCTAGGTGCGCTCGCGCCATATCTAACATCCTATTATTCCCTCCCATTCCTCCAGATTGCGCTGATTTGTTATATATCTGCGAACGCGTGTCGTTCCAAAGCAGACCCGATCGTTTTATGCGCAATCGGAAAAGGGGAGCTGCGTACATAAGAGGCGGATGAGGAGGTGGAAGAGGAGGACCAATGTAAACCCAAGATGCATCAGAGATGTTGGAATAAACCCGCCCTCCAAGCTCAATTTTGATATGCCCCTACAAGGAATCATTTCCAATGAGGGAATGCCCCGCTGGGAGACCACCGTTTGAAGATCCTGAAGCGTGCCAACACATCATTCTCGGGACCCAAACGCCACGAGTCAACTTGACTGTTCTATCTTGACTACCCTGAACCGTTTCAGAACGCCATTCCAGGGACTCAAGCACCGCGAATCAACGTGACTGCTGCGACCTGACAGCTATGCACCGCTCCAGACCATAATTTCTGGTTTCGCCGATCTTAGGGGAATCCGTGACACTGCTGTAATGTTTTAGGACGGGTGTGCGCTGCGCCAAGGCGAAAGCCACATCCGTAAGGCTTTTGCATTTGCATTTTTTGTAACGAAAGTGCGCGGTGCTTAGGCGAGACACACTTTTTGAAAACGACCCGCCCTCAAGCCGTGGAGCTCTTGCAACGTTTTTGAACGAATGCGCGCGGCGCTACGGCGAGAAGACCCGCCCTGAATCCGTGGAGCTTGCACATTCTAAGACGCGTGTGCGCGCCGCTAAGGCGAGAGCCCCTTGTTGAACACCGCCCGCCCGCCATTTGTGAAACCCTGGCGCAGTTTTGAAAGACACCCGCTCTCCAATTGTGAAGCTGTTGTCAGTTTTTCAGCTCCACGATCACACATAGTAAGGAAGTCCCATGCGAAACGCCTGGCCCGCCCTTCCGATTGCCCTCCGGGTGTGACAGGGAGATAAGGAAACGTAGTGGAGGAGGACGAGGAGGATTCGAGTGGGGCTCGGGTGGCCAGATCAACCCTGCTGCGAGCACGACAGCAGGGCCGATGCGAGGAGACAGCACCACCCTCCAGGCCTATCCTGGGCGACAAGGGCTGTCTCATGAATTGTAACCCTGAAAGGGCATACCAAACAGTAGCTGAGAACGGTCGGCTCCAGCTCCCGCCCGACAACATTGGGCTCCAGCTTGGCCTCCCGCTTTTCACACGAGGCCTTCCACTGAGCTCTCGACGAACTGCAACCCTGCTGGGCACGGCTGTTCCCTGGCCATCTCGCGCACGAGCTGATCCCAGCCTTGCAGTTGGTGACGTTAGCTCCTGCACTTACACCGTCTCGCAGTGCCACGGCTTGCTGCCACGGCTTGCACTTCTAGCATTGCCAACTGCTGCCACTGCCGACTTTCGCACACGAGCTGATCCCTGAACTGGACGTGAAGATGTCCACTTCTGCACTTCTGCCTTCTCGCATTGCCACAGCCTGCTGCCACTCCGTGCCCTTCTTGCATTGCCAGCGCCTGCTGCCCCTGCCTGCCTTCGCACTCGAGCTGATCCAAAACTGTCACTGAGGACATTCGCTTCTGCACTTCCGCCTTCTCGCAGTGAGAACTTGCTGCCACTGCGCGTCCTTCTCGCACTGCCAGCTCCTGCCGCCAATGTGTACCTCCATATACAAGTTGATCCCCGCTCCTGCACTCTTCTCGCAGTACCAGCGCCTGCTGTCACTGCTCGCCTTGTCGTTATCGGGCTCTGTCTTCGCCTTCAGCTTCCCGCGCGGAGTCGGTCATATCTGGTGGCATCGGGCTCGACCTTCGCCTTTTCTCGATGTGTCGGGCACCCGGTTCGCCTCCCGCCCTTCAGTATGAGGTGATTGGTCTGGCTCCGATGTCACCTTGCCCTGATCCCAGCTCTTTAGCTGATGGCATCTGGCTCGTCCTTCATTGGCCTTTCTCCACAGCCGGCTGTGTACATCGCGTCTGATGCAGCTGCCGGCATCGGGCATCCTCTTCACTTCACACAACGCCAGCGCCTGCTGCCACTCCTTGCCTTCTTGCTCGCACGGGCTGCAGCCAGCGAGGTTGCTGATCGTGGCCCGCCCGCACTTTTCTCGCAGCGCCTGCGTCGGTTGCCACTGCTTGCCCCCTTTCTCGCACGGGCTGCTCCCGGCGTTCCTACTGATCGTGGCCCACCCGCAATTGCCTCGCAGCGCCAGCGCCTGCTGCCACTGCGCACCCCCTGTCTCGCACGGACTGCTCCCAGCGTTGCCGCTGATCGTGGCCCGCCCGCATTTTGTCGCGCTCGCAGCGCCAGCACCAGTTGCCGCTGCTTGCCTTCCGCGCGACCTGATCCGTCAAGTGCCGCTGATCGTGACCCTGTTTGCCAGCGCTTCCGCCGCGGCGCTCGGGAGGCCAGCGCTGCAGCTCGCCAGACTGACGAGGTGAGGGGGAAGGAGGAGGAAGAGGACAACGAGGGGAGGAGAAGGCGGAGGGAACCCAGTCTCCTGGCGGGTGCGCTCGCGCCTGCTCTCCGCATTGTAGCTGATGAAGTTGGGCGCCGCGCTTCTTGATGTCGGCTCTCGCGAGCAGGGAGGAGGAGGAGGAGCAGGAGGAGGTGGAGGAGGGAGGAGGAGGAGGAGGTGGAGGAGGAGGAGGAGGAGCAGGAGGAGTTGGCGGGTGAGCAGTAGGATGAGCAGGAGGAAAAGGAGAAATACGAGGACGGAGGACGACGAGGACGAACATGAACAGCAGGAGTTGGAGTGGAAGGAGTGGGAGGAGCAGGAGGACCGGGGAAGGCGGAGGACTGGACACGAGGGGGTGACGCCGATGAAAAGGGGCCCGGATCCAGAACAGTGTCTCCCGCGTTGGGGCGAGAGTGCCACTCTTAGCGACGGGAGCGCTGCGCCGATCCGGAAGTGAGGCCCATGCTGCAGCTTGGCATCGCTCGGACGTGTGCATTCTTCCTTCGGCGAGGACCATCGAGGAGCATCCTTGATCATTTGGCCAGGAACCACGCATGAAACCAAAAAAGCACAGGGAATGGACGTCCGAGCGATGGCCAGGCAGCGGGAACACCGTTTTTGAAGCACCGAAAATAATCGGATGGTAAGACAAAGAATGCATCGGGAAGCCAGCTCGGCCCAACCCTGTGCTCAGAGCAGGGGAGGGAGGCGAGGAGCATGCACAGTACAACTATAATTGCAGAGTGGGGGACTCATCTCCCCCACTTCCTCATTTTCCTGCTCGTCCTCCCCTCTGCTGTTATCCCCTCCCCCTCTCCTCCCTTTGAACTTCCCGATCACTATCCCGCTCCTCCTCTTCCCGCTGCTGCTGCTCCTCCTATTCCTCCTCCTCCACCTCCTTTTCCTTCATTCCTCTTCCACATCATTTCCCTTCCACCTCCCCCTTCCCCTCATCCCCCCTCTCTCTCCTCCTCTCCTCCCCCTCCTCCCTCACTCCTCCGCCGCCACCTCCCTTTCCCCTTTCTCCCCTCGCTCCCCCCTCGCTCGTTCCCCCTGACCCCCTATCCCTCTCTCCCTTTCCCGTCTTCCTTTCCCCCTCCGCCGCCGCCCCTCCTCTTCGCCCCCCTCCTCCTCCTCCGTCCTCGTCCTCGTCCTCGTTGCCCGTCTTCTCCCCTCCCCCTGTTTCCATGCCTCTCCCTACAAGACGTGCTGGTCGGGTGTGTCGGTCATTTCGCCTGAAGCCCTCCAGCACCTACGATGTCGGGATGGTTTCAGTATGTGTCGCGCGCCTGGTTGTCGTCGCGCATACTGATCTCACATGTTTCTAGCAGGTATAAGGTCGGCGGCAGCTGTTCTTCAACACGGGGAGAGTGTTTCAGATTCTCCAGAGCTGTGAACGTGTGGAACAAGTACATAGGTGAACGGCGACTCCTATGGGGCTTTGGTCCAACATTGATATGACATGTAAGGCAGAACGTGCGCGGAGTTGTCAGCTGTCAGCTCAGGTAATATGTGCACAGACGGAGGGCGGCTCATTTTCAGAATTGGGTTTTCGCTGCACATGCTCCTTGTGTTTTCTGATCCTGCCCCGTGGCACTTATTTATAGCTCGAAGTATGGATAGTTTCCAATTAATTCCAGATGTGGCTTTTGCTTGAATGGCAGGCCCAAGGGCTCTCGTCTTTCAAGATGGGCTTCCCTTGGTGGTGGACAAGGAGCGCTCACAGGGACCCGTGACGAGGTGGCCTGAGACGGGACGGTGTCTTGCAGCATCGCTGAATCACACTGGATTCACTCCGATGTTCCTCCTCTTTCTCCTGCTTGGGAAACTTTTAGCCCCCTGCACGGCCCACCCCCGTCGACCCCGGGACCCAGCGGGCCTGCATTTATATCAATCCGCAGAGATTCAGTACAGTCTAGGCCACCGCCGCCGCTGCTGCTGTCCCCGAAGCGCCTTTGTTTTTGTTATACTTCCTCCTCCTCCTCGTCCTCGTCCTCGTCCTCGTCCTCCTCCCCGTCCTCCTCCTCCTCCTCCTCCTCCTCCTCCTCCTCCTCTCCGCAGAATGTACCTGCACAGCACCACCATGCCTGGCCAGGACCATCCAGGGCCCTGGGATGGTGTATAGACCATCCTGCCCTTGTCCAGGAGGGCTATAGACAGTGGCAGGTCCCAGGCTAGCCCTGGCCACGCACGACGTTGGCTTGCAGGTGCTCTTTCTCCTCCTCCCCCCCCTCCTCTGCGCTGCGGGCCGGCCCGTGCGGCTCCCGGGTGGGTGCAG